AATGTGCAGAGCTGCAAAGGCAAGGTTCGGGGGAGAGCACACAGAGCAAGGACCTTGGTGAGAGAGGAAAAGATGGCAAATCCTGAAGCTTTGTCCTTGATGGGAGTAAAACCAAGCAGCTGCAGAGAAACGTGTTTGGGAGGGCACCCCCCCCCCCCTTTGTCCCAGGCTATGAAAGGGAGGAGAGAAAAGGCTGATGGGACCAGAGAGCAAGGCAATCTAACCTGAGGCCTATGATAGGAGAGCAGCTGTTGATTCACTGAGAATGCGGTTTTTCAAGTGCTGTTCCCTGGTAACTAACTCTGTGTTCTGGATTGTAGGTGCCCATAGATGAGTAGTTTTTCATAATAATTTTTGTATATAACCTGGTGCAATTGGGTAACTGAGTAGCAGCCAGCTGTTCTCAGGACTCACACAAAGTACTAGCAAACTGAAAAGTGCAAAGTTGAATAAGGCAAACTGACCATCTCTCCTCTCTGAAGTGAAGCATCATTTAACAGTATTTCCACTTCCCCTGCACCTTTCAAGAGCCGAAACCTCATCCCACAGAATAAGTGCAATCGTGGGTCTATTTTGTCCAGATCCAAAAGATTTGCTTTAAAGAGTCAACAGGGCACTGAAGCCATTGGGAAGCGGTATTTTTATCTTACTCTACAGAGAACTTTCAGTTTCATATCCCTTATCCTGGAGTAAATGGGGAGTGAGTCCACTGAGGTCGGTGGAGTTATTGTCTGTAATAGAAGAGAATCCAGACGAACTCACTAAAAATTATTTCCCTGTAAGTGAGTCCTAGTGGAACCCTTTGTCAAGATTACTGCTATTTCCTCTGATTTGTACAAATCAAATGCATGATACATCTATTTATAGCCTATTGTATAGTCCATTGTAGCTGTTAGCCAAAGATTCCAGCTGAGTCTGGAGTTCCCTTGTGATAAGCATTGCGGATGGATTATGTAAAACTTTAAAAACTGCCTAAGTTACTTAAGCAGTTTCAGAATGGAACCCCCAGGAAGATGCAGCACCAGTAGTTCAGGTGTGAGCATGAGGCAGGCAAAAAAGGGGGAGAGCCCAGTTTTAGAGGGGGGAGGGACTTGCTCACCTGGCAGAGCTAAGGAGAATAGAACCTGGTCGTCTTACTCCAGGGCCACTGCCCTACCCTTCAGTTCTCTTGGGTGGTTTGTTAGGTATTAGTAGGATGTTGGTGAGTGGGGCTCCCTATGCTGCCGGTGATTACATCTCCCACTTGAGAGGAATAAGCTGGGTGCTTGTGCGGCCTCTCAGGAGAGATTCAGATGCTGCCCAGATGATTAGCAGAGCGCCCACAGCTAGATTTTGTGTTTCTGTTGGTGGTGCACAACTGCACATGCCTCAGTGCATGTAACAACATTTATTATACACATGAATGGAAAAGGGTCGAGGGAACATTGCTGGCACCATACTGATGGTGGTTAATGTACATGCTGGCCATGGATAGACCTCAAGCCCAAACTTCTAATCTTGGTGTGCAGCCAAGGTGTATTGCATTCATGCTATGTGAGGAGACTCAGAGTGTGGCTTGTTTAGCATAACCAACAGGAGGGAACAGCCTTTCAAGAAGAGTAATGGGGGCAAAAACCTACCTGGTGTCAAGACTGAGCTTGCTAAGTGTATGGAGAGTATGGGAAGGTGAGACTACTGACAACAGCATGCAGCTGATCTGCAACTTCTAGCAGCAAATATCCCCAAGGGCTGGAGATGGGGCACTAGATGGGGAGGGCCTTGAGGTACTACAGAGAATTCTTTCCAAGGTGTCTGGCTGCTGCGTTTTCTCCACATGCACAGTTTAACTGGCTGCCATATTTGGGGTCAGATTGGCAGAGTCACCTTCCTCTGGACCATGGATTCTCTGTACCTTGAAGACTTTAAGCCATGATTTGAGAAGGTCAGGAACTGTCTGTTGCAGGAATAGGTGGGTGATGGTCTGTGACCTGCACTGAATCATGGGGGTCATTTCTGACCTTAAGCTTGAGTCTCATACACCAGTGCTTTAGCTCACGTCCACATGATACATATTCAGAGACATGTTTAATACTAATGCCCTGGCTCCTATTAATATTAGGTCTCCTGTGCTCATTTTACTGTCGTTTAAACAAAACTGGGGTGTGTTCTCTCTCTCTCTCTCTCTCTCTCTCTTTATTTATTTTTTTAAAGAAGCTTAAGTTGCCTGGCTCAGAGCAAATCTAGCTATTTCTTAATCAATAGGGGATGGCTACTAAAATGTTCCCTTGGCTAGCGGTGGGTTTATTCCTTTCCCTTGTTTTG